CTTTCCCTAACATTTCCCCCCCTTTTTTTCTAGGTCAGACTGAGGAATCTTCCTCAGCAGTATCTAAGGCTTGGTATTTCTGGCGAAGGACCAAGAGATGGATAGTATTGATTTTTTCCTGAACAAACTTTAGTAGCCTATTTATTATGCAGGGACCAATTGTGACTAATAGCAGTAGGATAATTAGAGGTCCTGTGATAGCTGAGAGGAGAGTTGTTAACCAAGGAGATTGGTTGAACCAAGATTTAAACAATCCTTGACTGGTCTCTCATTCTAATTTTCTTTTCTCCAACCCTTCTCTTATTTTGGCCATGTTGTCCTTTATTAGCCCTGAATGGTCCCTATAAAAACAACATTCCTCTTTCAGGGCAACGCATAGCCCTCCTTGCTGTAAGAACAAGAGGTCTAACCCTCTTTGGTTTTGTAAAGTTACTTCTGCTAATGACCCAATAGAGTCCTGGAGCTTAGATATGGACTCTTCTGTTCTCTGAAGATCCAGGTCTAAGCTAGTGCGTAAAGCGTTGTATTGATCTCGCCCCTGTATTAATGCAGTGGTCCCTGTGCCCACCCCTGCAGCAACACCTGTACTGACTAAAGTCGCAAGGGTTAAGGCTATAACTGCAGGAGTTCTCTTAGAATGCAGTGAGGGAGAGAGAGAGGGTGCGTATGATAGTAAGAATTCCTGATCCAAATGGTAGACCAGACGAGGAAGAAGAAGAGTAAGAACACAAAAGCCTCCTGCATTGAGGACATTCACGGAGATGCAAGGTGTTAGTCCTGAAGAGCACGCCCACCACGCATTGGGAGGGGGGATAATGAAGACATCGGTGGACACAGGAAGAATCCTGGTCTGATTGCAGAGGGAGGAGTACTGTTTTGGGATCGTACCAATGCATAGTCCTGATCCCGAGATATATTCCAAGGTAATTTTTGGCACAGTGCCCCATGCACATTTGGAGGAATTATGAGAAATTTTATAGGGGCCAGAGGTGGCAATCCCCTCTAAGTAAGGAGGAGTCACAGTATAGTAAAGCCAGCAAGATTCAGCTAGCCCAGGGTTGGTTGCATTGAAAAGGTCATAGGCCTGACTTATAATCTTAATAAAATCTAGAGACCGCTGGTAATGGTGGATTGGAGAATAGGGCATAAAAGGCTGCTTAGTAGGTCCTCCTTCAGTAACAGGATACTGGTTGGAACTGGGAGGAGGAGGAGCTACAGGCTTGTCCACAACTAGTCTTGGGACAAGAATGGAATTGGGTCCTATTGCTGTGGCAAGGGGCATTTGGCACCTGGCAATTGTGAACAAAATTCCAGGATCACCCGAAACTCTCTGGAGATACAATCATAAGCCCCAGGTGTTGATGCCCTCCCAACCAGAAAACTTCTTTCCTGCCTCAGTAAATTTAATGAGCAAGGGATTGCAGACACGGGGCTTAGGCCCCCTAGTCGTTTCACATGGAGGGCTTGCTTGGTCCCGTGTGATAGTGATATAATCTCCATGGGCATTAGTCAGCCAGAAGGCCTGGCCAGTGGTTTCACACCCCCACCGTGGACAATAGTACTGATCAGGTCTCCCACAGCTAGGTTTGTATTGGGGACAGGACAGACATAGAATTGTTTTTGCCTGAGAAATCGGACTCCCGATTTAAATTTACAATTAAATCCTGCAGAGGAGTCCTCTACATCCCTACTGATAGCTGCCACACCACGATCCCATTCCCCATCCACTAGGGTACAGAGATCCATATTTAGTGGAGGCCACCAGGTATTGGGGGA